AAGAGAGCTACAATTGCCAGGTCCAGTATGCCTGCCAAAAAATGAACTGCTTCAAGGCGACATGGTTTATAAAAAGCAAATGCCAATAGAAATAATAATAATAAAAAAAAAGTAATGCAACCCTTTTCAAGCTGCACATATGGACATACCTTGTATGATGGACTATGGCATTTTGGCGGATTTTCTTGTCAATCCTTGGAGATCCGAAACTGGAATACATTAATTGTCTCACCCTCCTGTTACACCAAGGGTTAAAGGAATATACCTTTCCAGTTCCATGAAAATTTATTGGCTCTCCTTTTCCGAGTTGTGATCAGCGACATGTTTTCAGTTAGCAAATGTGCAGGCCAAGTCACACGGAACATTGATCAGAAAATTGGTTGAATTATTGCTTTCATTTGCTACTTTATATTTGTTACAGATCTGTTTAAAAGAATATTAATCATTAAAAATGAAAACTTGTTTTTGTAGATTTCCTTTTTTTTTCATTTATAGGTTAAATCTAGAAGCTGTTTCTTTTTTGAAGAAGTAAGCCATACAGATATTTTACCAGGAAGCAGCTATATCATAGTATATATATATAAAACTCAGAAAAATGCAAGATTGAGTTTAAATTGACAGTAATAAAACCAGTAACCCGAAGGTCTGAATGGGTTCTTGAATTGGAACTAATACTGAAAACACCTGCCTTCTAAAAATTGCACATGAATTATCTAGGTGTAAACTGGAAAAGATAAGTAAATGAATGGAAATTCTCAGATATAAAAAAAAAAAAAGAAATTAAACCACATTTAAGAACATTTAAACTCAAGTAGAAAAATGACAGTAGCACCTTGAAATGTTCTCAGATGGTGTATGGAACGAAAAAGAAAATGGAGAGCTATTTAGTGTAGTACGTTTTGAAAAATGGTATATGGAGAAAGAGATTCACTTACAATTTATAGAGCTGCCATTTGCTCAACTTTTGTGTGCTTAAGCAATACAAACCAGCTTAATTATATCTCTTGGTCTAAATACATAGTCTTGGAAATGGAGACTATATATACACTATAATATGTTCGGATGATATAAATTATTAAGTGGACAGTAGAATTGCACTCACATGGAATGGAGCCCCTAAACAGCTACTATTTGATGTAGTGTAAAGTGGTATAATTTTAACCATAGGATGAATTGTTGGCAAATGTCTTCTCCGTGGTGAATATAGAAGGAAAGAAAGGCACAAATATAGTGCATACTGTGATGAAAGCAAGTGCAAATAAATGTAAAACTACTTACTACTTTAGAGCAAAATAAGAATTCACTCAATTCATAGAGCTTAGGTGGTAAGTTTCCCACCAAGGAAAATTGTGTCCAAACCTGCAATTGAGCAAAAGAAGGAATCTTGAAAAAAAATAAAAATAATTTGACATTAAACAACTTAAAACAATAAAAACATTATGTAGTTTTACATCATACTAAAGATATAATAATATAAAGATGCATCCATACATAATATATATATTTTTTTTAAAGAGTAGAAAGTTTCAATATCCTATATGCTTACCAAAAAAAACAACATAAATTAAGAATAAAATGTTTTTGAAATGGGAAAAAAATTTGATGTTTTTAACAAATGTTTGCTTACAATATTTTTTTAATCCAAGATCTAAATACATTTTTGATAGTTAATGCTAGCCTTCCAGCAACCACTCCAATTCTGCACCAATCCTACCCTTAATTCAATTAATTACACTAACTCTTACCATACATCTACCTTAACCTTACCCCTTAACTTAATACTATCTCTAATTATAAAAACAGTATTAGCCATAACCCAGCATTAACCTTTACCTTACTCTAACATTAGCCCTACAGTAACCCTAATCCTACACCAAACCCTAATTGTACCCTAATACTAATATTAACCATACCCCTAACGGACACCTCCTGCTGTCATCAGAATAATGCCTCTTAGTTCCCAGCCAAAACAGTAGAGATGGGTCTGAGCGCCACCTACTGGGGGATTGCAGCAAGAGAAGAAGATCTCCCTCTCATGCTGCAGCTCCGCATGCTCAGACAAAATAGTTAAGATGTTCCATGACATCCTAACATTGTTTAATTGCACTCTGTGAAGGATGGCATGAAATGTCCTAAGGAGTTAATTTACTTGTTTACTCCTTATTCAGTGAATAAGCTAAATATGCATTTTTTTTTAAAATAAATCAATCTGTCTAGTCTTTAATACATTTTTGGGTATAGATCAGTCAGTGAGAAATAAAACAGTGAAACATGTTTTGCTTTCGTTCATTTTCTGTATTTAATATTATACCATATTTGCTGAAAGTTTCCGTTTATTTGGTTTAGAGAACTGTTTTTTAGGGTAGTAATTCTATAATTCAGTTTCCATAGTTATTAAGCTTTTTTAAGCTTCATGTACACTCCTTAAAAAAAACAACCCTCAATGTATACCCACTCATCTTCCTACACACAGGTGTTACATTAAGGGGTTGATTTAATAGAGCCTGGCCCAATATGCTTATTACTAGCTAGCATATCTTTACTGTAATGCCAGGAAAAAAGGCTTTCAACCAGATCGAAACCTGAGCACCACAGAAGATCATGGAAACCACAATACCGTTAAATATTTACTAGATGTTGTTATGGTTTCCCAAGAGAACAAGGTTCATTGAGCTGTACCGTACCAGACAGGCTACCTAGCATAGTCTGATTGGACATGCACTCTAGTCTTCCATTTAACCCTTGCAGTAGCACAATGGGGAGTGGAACAATATGCTGACCTTTTCTGTGGTACTAAAGACATATGGGAACAGCAGTATTTACGTAGTATTTACGAGCCTGGGCAAACTTCATTATGCACAAACCTTGCCGACAGATTAACTGTCATTACTTGGAATGCAATAGAGAAGCTGGATAGCCATTGGGAGGTATTTGTTATCCATTTAGGGCTAGGGGACTGGGAAACCCTTAGTCCAAGTCAAGGTTATTTGTTTTGTTTTTTTGGGACCAGTGAAACTGAACACCTCATGGTCTTAAGGGATATTCCTTGGCTCTCTAATTATTGGACTAAGAGGCTTGAGAACCTAACCTAACCTAACCTAACTGATGAAATCCAACTATTTTTCTGGCGATGAGTAAATCGAGCTGTAAATACCTAAATAAAATATTGCTTTGGAGTACGGTAGTAGTATCTTTGCAAATCAGGATGGGCTTTGATTAATAGAAAGTAATAAAATGTGAAGATTAAAAGAAAATGAGGCTAGGCACCACCAAATATAGAATCACTTTACCCTACATAGTCAAATGTTCTTCAAGTAATTTTTCGTTTTACTTTTAAATGTGAACACCTAGATTATGATTTCTTGCACAAACATATAGCATTATTTTAAACTGATTTTAAAATTCTAAAAACTTGCTGATTTTACATCTTTTCTAAAGTGTAATTGTATCTTTAAGCAGCTTTATTTTTTTATTATGTCCATAATCCAATTTGAAGGTTTGAAATGTGTCTTTCATATTGGTGTGATCTTGTCATTTGTTTGCATTCAATTTGAGGGAGACAAATGATGTAGTTTTTAGCTCTAAAAATTGTTGTTCAAAGAGATGAATGAGATTTATTAGACACTTATTTTGCTGTAATTAATGCTCATAAATTGTGCCATGGAAACAGAGAGAGAGATAGTGTTGTATCCTTCATATCTGATTCATGAAGTAATGAATTACTTAGGAAGTTAACAGCAGTGTCATCTCTTAACATTTCTGTCTTACTGAATCAACAATTGTGCTTTTCAACGAAATTGTATTTTCCTAGACCTTTTATGAATTCATCCATGTGGATATTTTAAATGGATCATAAAGTTTTGCTAGAAAATTGTTTTACAGAGAATGTTTAAGGAAGTATATAATATTAATGTTCTACAGGTAGAATAGGGTGGAAATGTTCTAGGGAGTAAGTGGAAGATAAATATTTATGTGCTAGTAAGTGACAATGTCTCGCCATGGGTGGAAGGTTAAATGAGTGAGTCAGTTATGGTAATATTTGATTTCCAGAAATGTTTTCTACGAAAATTATAAAATTATGCAAGGCCAAGAAGCTGGAATTCATCAAATGGTCAAACAGGTACCGGAACACACATGCAAAAATGCATCACATCTTTCAAGGCTTCATAAAACCAACCACCTCAAACCTCAAATAATTCCTTAAAGTGCTTTCAAAGGCTCTTTTCAAATGTTCATATGTATGTATACTTTGTAGTCCATTTCTGTTGGGTAGCTCTGCGTAGTAGGATGATGGTCTCATCCCAAAATAGCCAGGTCATGGTGGCAAAGAGAGAGAGAAAATAATAGGCATTTGGAGGGGCATGCCAAAAACATGCATTCATTCATAAAATGGTCCCCTTGTGCTTGTCATGCTGGTGCTATTATGGATAACAAAATCATAGAGGTGCGGTTTGAGTTAAATTACATTTTTTTTTAATGAAAATCTGAAATATTTTATATATTAATATTTAAATATTGGAAAGTGTTCATGGCATAAAAGATCTTGATGCCCGTAGACTCAAATTTGGAAAGTAGTTCCAAGATATTTGTTCAAATGCGGTGGGTAAGGAATCTATAAATGTTAGAATGTAATGGAATAGTAATGTTTGAAGTTGCAAATAAGAATCCAGCTCTTTTGGGTGTATTAGATACAGATAGAGAGTGTGGGGTATTTATTTTTTAATAGTGGGCTAGAGTTAGCTTGAGGAGATAAATGTAATCAGAAGTGTAAAGGGGATAGGATGTGCGTGGGAAAAATATTTGGTTCGGTTCGGCATTCCAAAATTCTGGACTTCGGCACTTCGGTTCAGTTCGACGATTCGACACTTCAGAACTTCGGCACTTCGGAACTTTGACACTTTGGAACTTCAGAACTTCAGCACTTCAGAACTTCAGGACTTCAGAACTTCTGCACTTCTGCACTTCTGGACTTCAGGTACATGTAAGGATAGGGTTAGGGTTAGGGTAGGGATAGGGTAGGGTTAGGGGTAGGGTTAGGGTTAGGAGTAGGGTTGTGTTAGGAGCAGGGTTAGGCTTAGGGGTACGTTTAGGGTTAGGGTAGGGTTAGGGGTAGGTTAAGGTTAACCTAACCCTACCCCTATCCCTACCCCTATCCCTACCCCTAACCCTAAGCCTACCCCTAAGCCTACCTCTACCCCAACCACTAACCCTATCCTAACCCTACCCCAACCCCTAATCCCAACCCTCTCCTGTTTTGCCACTTTTCAGAAATCCGAAGCACTTCGGCACTTCCAAAATTCGCAATTTTGGCAATTCGGTTTGGCATTCCGAAATTCGGCACTTCAGCAATTCGGTTCGGCATTCCAAAATTCGGCACTTCTGCGATTCGGTTCAGTTTGGCATTCCGAAATTCGTCACTTCAGAAATTCGGCAATTCAGCACTTCAGCACTTTGGACATTCGGAAGCATCCGAATGTCCCAATTTCCTAAATTCGTCCGAATTTGCATTCGGAACTAAACAAATTGCACATGTCTAAAAGGGGAACTAACAGAGCACTTTAGGAGGACAGTCACAGAAAGAAGTACTGGATAACACGAAAGTTCAGCAAGGTGAACATTCTCTGAGATGATCAAAGTGTAGACAAGCTTGTTTTGGTGCTCTTGAATGGGTCATAGATATCCAACTAAAATTAAAAAGAGTTTGACTCTGTATTGGTCATTAATGAGTAGCCTTACAGCAATGGGGAAAAAAAAACCTGTTCTTAGTAACATAAGCCAGATGAAAAGATTGAGTATTTAGTATTAAATATGTCCAAAACATAAACATGAGCAATTTAGTCATAGTTTTGCTTTTTGTTCCTAAATGGTATGCATAAAACTGTAGAGTGTGTTTGCATGCTGGGCAGCAGGTGGAGTTGTAAAAATGTGTAGATTTACATAACATAACATTTACATAACAAAGTACAGTTTACCATTCTTATCTTACCATATCTTATCATATCTCTGTGATTAAAAGAACCCTCTTGGAACTATAACAAATTCCTCTCAATAAAGTTGTTATAGTGCCTGGGGTATTTAGTGGGGCATGTCACAGTAGAGACAGGTAGCAGAGAAAGGGAAGGGATGGGGTAAGAAGAGAGGGGAAAAAAACTCTCATACAAAGACATTGCCTGGTTGTCCTGTCGCACCCACGCCCCACCAATCTTCCATTAAGCTGTTCCCTATATGCCTCATACATTCCAGATTTCTGTCAGGGCCACCAAATTATTGTCTTGGATTCCCCTATTCCTTCACTTGAAATCCCATCCCCTGTGTGTCTCCAGGCCTTCTAAATCCATGTCGAGGCAGACACAACACCCTTTAACAGATAATAGTTTACACCCTCCGGGTGCCTACAGTGTCCAATGACAGCCATTGCAGCCAATAAAACCAAATGTTATGATATTTTTGGGCTTTGCCCTCTGTTGAGAGAATCAGCTCTTCAATTTTTTACGGATATCTTCCACCCACTTTATCTGTTCTCTTACCGTTGGGGTAGTTTTTTACCTCAAGTAGCATGGGACTACACTACGGGCTGCATTGATCAGATGCGGTAACATAGATTTTTTGTATTTGCTGGTGGGGATGTCGGCAAGGTGCATTAAAAGGACCTTGGGAGTAAATGTCAGCTTGACGTCTGTAAAGTGTTCAGGATTTGGCGTATCTCCTTCTAGATAGGTTGTATTTGGGCACAGGTGCTCCATATGTGGAACAATGTCCCCTTCTCCCTCTCACATCTCCAGCACCCCGGGTGCCTCAAGTATCCCATGGCTGCCTATCTTTCAGGCATTTTGTACCAATGCAAGAGCATTTTGTACTACACCTCCTGGTATTTGATGCTAATGGACAATTTGTGAGTCAAAGTAAACATTTCTGGACCATTATTCAGTGTTGACATATCTCGTTCACAATAGGTGGTGCAGTAGGTCAATTGCTCCTCTGCCTGCTGGAAAGAAAGGTGGCGGCAGAGCAGGGATATGGTGTGGGGTATGGGTGGAGTCTACATGCAAAAGCTGGTGAGTTGTCTATTCGCTGTGATGACCTGGGGTGTGTTTTTGAGGAATCAGGTTAGCTGATGATAGCGAAATTGGAGCATGATTCCTGGTGTCCCGGCCTCCATTATGAGAGCTGCACGTACCCGGATGTAGCCATGGAAGGGCTTGTAGGGGAATATCAGAAAAATAGGATTCCACCTTGATCCACAACTTGTATGTGGATGGTTTTGTGGTATAGGTTCAGAAGGCCTAGACCACCAAGAGGTTCAGTTTCCTAAGAATATTAAATTTGATTCTCGATTTCCTACGATGCCATAAAAATTCTGTGAGCATACGTTTGGTCTGTAAGAGAAATGATTGTGGGATATGGATCAGTAAAGTTTGTAATAGGTACAACAAGCATGAGAGCACGTTCATTTTTAAGATGCTCACTTGTCCTTTTTTTAGATGCTCACTTTAATTGCAAAGTTAACTTTTAACTACAGGGATTTGCAAAACAAAATGCTGTACCTATTTACCTTCTGTGCCGCACAACAATGGGAGTATTTCTTTATGCTTTACTATCTAAAATCTTTCCATGTACCAGCACAGTCGTTGGTAGAACACAGTGATAACCTGTTCACAAAACGATACAAAGGACTGTGAATTAAGTGATAGCAATCATATGGCTGCTACCTCTTTTATGTAATATCTATCTATCTATCATGAAGTTGTTACAAATGCACCTGTCAAGGGGTGGGATATATATGAGGCAGCAAGTGAACAGTCAGTTCTTGAATTTATGCATTGGAAACAGGAAAAATGGGCCAGCTAAATTATCTGAGTGACTTTGATATGGCCAAATAGTGCATCTCCAAAGCGGCAAGTCTTGTGGGGTGTTCCTGATATGCAGTGGTTAGTATCTACCAAACGTGGTGCACAGAAAGACAACCAGTGAACCAGCATCAGAGACATGGGCAACCAAGGCTCATTTATGCAAGTGGGGAACAGCCTGTCTAGTCCCATCACAGAGAAGAGTTACTTTAGTTCAGATTGCTGAGAAGCTTCATGCTAGCCATGATAGAAATTAAACACACAATGCATTACAATTTGCTGAATATAGGGCTGTATAGCTGCAGACCTGTCAGAGTGCCCATGATGGTCTCTGTCCACTGCCAAAAGCACCTTCAATTGGGACGTGAGAATCAGAACTGGACCATGGAGCAATGGAAGAAGGTTGCCTCGTCGGATGAATCATATTTTCATTTTGATTAGGTTGATTGCTTTGTTTGTATGTGTCATTTACCTGGGGCAGAGATGGCAGCAGGATGCACTATGAAAAGAAGGTAGGTCAGCAGAGGCAGTATTATGATCTTGGCAATGTTCTGATGTGAAACTTTGGGTACTGGCATTCATGTGGATAATACTTGGACACTGCAGGCCACGCACACCTCTTCATGAAAATTGTATTCCCTGATGGCAGTGGTCTCTTTCAGCAGGATAATGCATCCTGCCACACTGCAGAAATTGTTCAGGAATGGTTTGAGGAACATGACAAAGAGTTCAAGGTGTAGACTTGGCCTCCAAATTCCCCATATCTCAATCCGATTAAGCATCTGTGGGATGTGATGGAAAACAAATCCAATCTATGGAGGCCTCATCTCACAACTTGCGGGACTTCAAGGATCTGCTGTAAATATCTTTGTGCCGGATGCCACAGGACATGTATAGAGGTCTTGTGGAGTCCATACCTCAACACATCAGGGCTGTTTTTTTTATATATTAGGCAGATGGTTTTAATGTTCTGGCTGATCATTGTTTATCTATCTATCTATTGATCTATCTATTGATCTACCTATCTATCTATCTATCTATCTATCTATCTATCTCAGCCCACTAGCCATTGGCTAGAAATGCCCCCCAGAGTTTCGATGGCCCTCTAGACTTGCAGTGGTGAATAAATTACCAAAAGTGTATTTAACAGTACTAACTCATCAGATAGTCAAGTAAATAAGTTGCACCAATTGACATAGGTTCTCCATATATATTTTCTTGACTACACCAAAAATGTCTTAATGATGAATTAACCGATACATACAATTTCATGGTATTACATATAACCAAAACGATTACTGCATTTTTTTTTCTGAATAAACAATGAATAGAATTCTGTGCCACTTTAAAATATGTTAAAGTGTCATTTTTTTAAAATAATCAATTAACCCATGTAAACACATTTTGAGGCTAAAGGTAAGGCATATAGACAGATGCTCCTGCTAACATTCTCAACATACATTTTTTTAATGCGGTTGAGCCTGGAAGTTGGACATTTGCTAATATGAATAAGTTGAGGTTGGCAGTGCTTGTAAAATAAAATAATTTGATGCATTGCTATTTTTCAACATTTCTGTGTCCAATGCCTATTTTAGCACACACTACTAAGGGTATACCCTAGAGATATCAACTTTAAGCCCTTTAACATGGGTTTTTCCCAGTCCGTTGGCATTCAAATTTCACTTTTGGCCGGCTGACCTTAATCCAGCTCTTTGTGTCCTTAAGAATTTTCAAGTCAGCACTATGTAACCCTCAGTTGAAAACATCTGAAGCTGTGCCCTCTCTAAAAAGAGATGTTTAAAATAGCCAAATATTAGCCTTTTGCTGCTCGTAAAAAATCTACTAAATTGTCAGCGTTTGCAAATATTTGCTGAGCTTAAATAGTTGATTACTTGCTGTAAATCCATGGGAGAAACATTTCTGCTTAGCCAAATGCCATGAAATTCTGAAATTCCTTATGGCTTATATCATAGGTAGAGGCTATGACACAAATTTATTGGAGTCAATGATTATTCTGATGAAGCTTACGTATTGCATTCGTATGACCTGGCATAGATGATATTGACAGAATATAAAGTGAGAATGAATCTAGCTGACTGAATTAAACTAAGACCTTAAATATACTAAACAAATAAACATCAACAGCAATGCCTTGACCAACTACAGATAGATATGTCACTCAATCAATCAACCAGTAAAGCAACATAAGTCTAGGTAAGTTCACATCCACTTGACATAGGCCAATCAAGATGTTCTGAAACTCTAACTCTAGCTCTTGTAGATGAGTCAAGATCTTCCTATCCCCTTCTCTAGTAGGTGAATCAAGAACTTCTGATTTTTTTGATCTATTAGGTCAGTCAACATCTTCTAATACAGTATTGTCTCCTACAGCTCAGCTATCATGGAACGTGTGGATAAACACA